GAGCTTCTATAGCCTTGGATGGCAACTGGTCTACTGCGGCTAATGGCAACCTCGTCAGTCATGTATCGAAAGATACATGATCGCCTAAGTGTGTATCATGCATGGTACATAACTGACTGATTTCATATTGGAACAAAATAAAATTAAAAAGTCTTGAAAGAGAAAGTTTATGTGTTTTTCATTTATCATCATTTATTCAGTTAGCGTATTTTGTGCTGCTGTGGTCAGCACTACACATAATTATGGTCCATGGTGATATTCAAGGCAAAATATTGCAATGTCTTACTGGTTCCTTTTGCACTGGAGATGTTAAGATTATCCTGTCCCTCCTTTCAGAAGTTCCTCCTCCCACTGGTAAAGCCTTCTTAGGCGCAGCTCCTATGCCCAGGCTGGCAACTTTGGGAGGAGAGGTGTTCACCTTCACCAGTTAGATCAGGATGCCCTTCTGTCTATACTCACGCAGTTTATCTGGCATGTCAATACTGTTGACTAAGGTGTGGCCATTGCAGTGCCCAGGTGACTTCTTGGAGCCATGTGTGAGAGTTGGATGTAGGCTGTGGACCAGGAGAATTCCACATCCCAATTCACCTGAGAAAAGCAGGGTCAACTGCTTCGCTGCAAAGGTAATACCACTGATGATACACCTCATACATCCAAGTTTTTGTTCATTATGAAAACCTTTGTAGTCATGCGATGGGTTTTGCTGCTATGATCATTACATTGTTTGAATTTTTGACATTGAAACTGGCAGTAATTTTTTTTTAATATATAATTTTGAAATCTTATTTCCAATAAGTCTTGTGATTGGACTCTAATTTATTTTGTCATGTTTTTTTTTGGTGGTGGTGACATTATCTTACTAATGATAAGTTATTGTGAATATTTCTAATAAAAACAGATTTTATAACAGGAACTCAGTTAATTATATGCCATGCATGATACATGCTTAGACGATCATGTATCTTTTGATACACGACTGACGAGGCAGATTTTTTCCCGCAGTAGGTTGCCATTTCTTTCTGCGGTAGACCAGTTGCCATCCAAGACTATAGAACCCGGTCTGTCCTGCTATTTACCCATAGCTGAGGGGAGAAGAAGAAGATTCATACTTTTGCCAAGGATATTAGCATGTAATGAATTTGACTGGAAGTTGAACTTGGCTCTGTGGTATATTTACCATATAAATATTAAGTAAATCCTGACAATTTTACCAACATTAGTTTGTCCTGGGTACGATGATAAACTACATCTGGCAACAAGACCTCTGATCAGGAGATTGGAAGTTTTGAGAAGCGTAGAATCACATCTTAATCGCTGTTGTTCCCATTGGCCTGGGGTGACCAAAATGACCAACAATACATTTGTATAGCAAAATTACAATCAATACAACACTAAAAATATATAAAATACATTTTTATAGTAAAATTACCAACAATACATTTTATCATCTACAAGCTATGTATCTAAAAACATACCTTTATCCTAAAAGTCTAAAATTATGTACAAAATATCTATAGTTGAAAGCATAAAATTACATGTACAATATTTAGATTTCAGTATTAACTAACTGATAACAATTGATATGCTGCCAAAGAAAATCAACCAGCCAACATTGGTTGATACAAAATTTAATGAAATTTTAATTTTACCCAATAATATATAAAATATTTTAGCTTTGATTTTTCATTTATTTATTTATTAGGTTGGTGCAAAAATAATGATGTAATAATGTTGTTTTTTGACTTATTTTTTAACGTCAAAAACGACATTATTATGTCATTATTTTTGCACCAACCTAATATTTATTTTTAAAGGATTTACTTTTTAATTGATTTTATTTTCACTGTTTTTCAAATGAATTGCCATACTTACTAATAATTTATAACTTATAAATTCTCTTTAAAAATAGTTAAGCTGTATCTCCTGAAACCAGAATAAAATATTTGGCACAATTGTCATGATGAACACCATAACATCAGACTTTTTTAAAAAATTATTTCACCACAAGCAAGGCGATAAAGCCACTGAGATGCAAAGGGTTATTGAGTGTTAGAGAATACAAAAAAAAAGACACTAAGGAAAGAGTCGAATCCCTTACATTCAATCATGTGCTAATATCCTTGGGGAAGGTATGAATCCACTTCTTCTCTCCCCTCAGCTATGGGTAAATAGTAGGACAGGCTGGGTTCTATAGCCTTGGATGGCAACTGGTCTAACACAGAAAGAAATGGCAACCTACTGTGGGAAAAAAAAATCTACCTCGTCAGTCATGTAGCCTATGTGTATCACGCATGACATTAACTGAAGGTGAGAGAATAATAAAAAAAAGAGGAATTAAGAAGACAGAAGATAATGATTGACTCTGCATTTTTAAAATTTTTTGAAAATCAAAGTTTTTGTTTTTTTTTTAAGCATTACGCCCCAAGCAAGGCGTGAAGCCACTAGGATGCAGGGGGTTGCAGAAGATTTGGAGCGAGAGCAGTTAGGAGTGATAGAAGAAAGGATGAGGAGAAGGATAGTGGATAGATCAAGACAACTGGAGATGTCAATTGACATTACATTTGAATAGTTGGAGATTATAGCTCTCAGGGAAACAGTAATTGGGAAGGGTGTTCCACAGGCTAGAGGTGCGAGGTATGAAGCTTTTGGAGTAGAAGAGACGACTACATTTAAAAGTTTCTACAGTGTAAGGGTGGGAGCGGGATGCCAGCCTCGTAGGGCGCTTGAATTCATGAAGTCTGGGAACCAGTGAAAGCAGCTCTTCAGAGCAATTACCATGAAAGTATTTGTAGAAAAGACAGAGAGGCGACGGCGCGTCTGTGAGAGAGTGACTGTAGACGAGACGCCAGATCAGGGCCAATTATATTACATATCCGTCTCTGGGTCTTGTCAAGAACTCCGAGGTAAACAGAAGGTGTCCCAGACCATATATGGCAGCAATACTCCTTGCAAGGTCGAATGGTTGATTTGTATATTTGAACTATCGATTCCGGGGAGAAAAAATTCCTGGCGCGGCACACTGTGAGAGCCAACTTTCCTCGCGGTGGAAGAAGCAATTGACTCAACAACTCAATGTATAATTTGTTCCATCTCAAAAATATCAAACGTGTTTGTTAATATTATTCTATCAGTTGATCAGTTTTCTTTCTTTTTTTAATTTGATCGAATTTGAATGAGAAACGTTGTTATTTATTAAGCTTTTTTATTTCATAATTTCGAACATGGATTTTTTTAGACAAAAAGTAGTAGCCGCTGTGGTGGCATTAGTAATTAATTAATTAATATTTTTTATTTTTTAGTTAGTCAGTTTTCAATGCTTATTTTTATCGTCATCATAACAACGGTGTTATGAAACAAAAAATAAAAAAGAAAGAAAGAAAATAGAATGAAAATATAAAAATTCCAAGTGTCAAGAAAAACAAAAGTGCATCCTTTTTTTCACAAGGAGAGACAAAATGGTGATCACCGCCTCTTCGTTATCATTTTTTGTTGCTTGATTGTAAAAATGTAACCAAGTGAAATATTTTCTCCAATGCGATTTTTGATATTTGTTATTTTTTTGTTCGTTTCTTTCTCTTGCTTTCTTTTCGACTTTAATTTTATGAACTGAACGAACGATACAGAAATTGACTGAAAAATCTTAACAAATCAAACCAAAAATAAAAAAAAATGGAAAAAGGCACGATAAAAAATTCTATCTGATTTCAAATTTCAAAAAAAAAGGTAAGTAAAGAAATAAATACAATTATTCAATTGTGACAAATATTTATTTTTTTAAGTTTATGACAAAAATGAAAGAAATCTCAAATCCATAATTATTTATTTTAAATTTACTTGTTTTAATTTTTAATTCAATATTCTATTTCAGTCAGAATTTGTCAAAAATTCAATGATTGATTTTAATGAGATTGATTTTATAAAAATAAAAAAAAAAATTTTCTATGAAGTTATAAGTTTATTAACTTTTGTCATTCAAATTTAATCAAACTAAAAAAAAAACTTGGATATTTTATTTTTAAAGGAATTTTTAGAGATTTATTCTTGTAATGTTTAAGTCTTTTTTTTTTTCTTAATATGCAAAATTTTTCTTTCTAACTTCTTACAGGGGAAGTTACGTGTTTCCATAATAAAAAGTCGACCCAATCTAATTTTTTATTGGAATGAATTCACAATTTTGACAAGGCCTGTTTGTATTGATGAAACTGTGGTAATCCAACGATTCGAATGTGTGTGGCCGGGTGGCTAGCTTGAAAACGGGTGGCCCCACTGTACTTTGTTAACCATGGCTATCTGCAGTAAGGTGAATACTGACATTGTTGATTAGAGGGAGTTTTTTTAGCTGATTACGAATAACTGAGGGTTGGTTAGCTCCAAGATAGAGAGGAAACAGACGAAATCCAAGTGTCAGGTAAAGTAATGGGATCACAATTATGAAGTGCTTATATTTTACCTCTTGATACAAACAAGTTGAGATCTTTCGTGGGTAAAAAACCACAACTGTCTTTTTTTTTCTTTTTTTTTTTTTTTTTTTTGGAGCCATGTAGCTATTTTTTATTAATTGATGGCATATTTACGGTTATTTATTTATTTTTTTCGAATGCTGCTTTTCAAATCAATGTTGGCGCTATGCATTCTACCTACCCAACACAAGTACTGTGTGTAAGTCTAAATTCTAACCTAAACATCCGTTACCATAACTGGTACTGTATCAATGCAGAACAACTCCATATGGAATGCTACTGATTTACAGGTCCTTCGCAAGTGTTTTGAGTTGTCGCCTCATTTAAATCAGTCACCACCCCTTGTAAGTAACAATTTACTTATTAAAATTAGTTCATGTCATTTTCACAGAAAGGGTTGATTGGGGATGGGAGTGGGGTGTTGAATTGGCAGCCTTGTTTGAGCCTATCCTAAATTTAGTAAACATTCATAATTAAGATTGGTGCAGTTTGAAAGTGAAATGAATAATCTTTGCTTATTAAAATGTTGCCAGCTTACAGGTTGAAACACTCATTCCCATACAATCACCAAAATTAAGCAACGTTGAGCCTGGTCAGTACTTAGATGGGTGACCACTTGGGAATACCAGCTGCTGTAAGCTTGGATGTGCAGGTGATATAATGCATAATGGCTCGGAATTGTTAATTGAAGAGCTAAATTCCAAATCCCATTGGGTTTGTTATATTCACTTACATACAAATATCCCTGGGAAAGGTATGAATCCACCTCGTCTCCCTCCAACTATGGGTTAATTAGCAAGGCATGCATTACTAAACTATTATTATCTTCAAAAATAATTTTTACAATCTAAAAATATTTTCTGGCTTTGAATAATTTGCATAAGATTGATAAGTTTTAGAAAACAAATCAATTAATCAATGAAATATTGACATGTCTTTTAGATTTATTTACATTGTCTAGAATGAGTTAAAGATCAAATGCAAATCAAATATGGATTGGAATCCGACAGGATGATAAGATTGGTTCTCTCTGTCATGCTAGACAATTTTCCTCACCAGAATCTCTCTTTGGCAACAATAACTCTTCTTCATTTCTTTTCTTTGTTCACCTGTCTATCGCGCTCTTACCATTCATCCACTGCAGAAAACCCACACTCGACTATGTGAGGACCATAGGATCTAAAAAAATTCCCTTTTCCCCCATCGGTCAAAAATTTGCATGTTACCAGCAAAAACTCGTATTTGTGAGAATGTAACATTCTGAAATATTCACATTATGAGTGGCCATTTTTTTTTTTATTTTGAATTTCTTTACATTCAATGCATATGCTAGCAGTAAGTCATTTTTTCCTTTATTTGTTTTTCTCTTCAGTTCTCCAACCACAGCTTCTAGCATTTTATTGACACTCAGCAGGTAAAAACATTTGGAATAAATTTAGCCACTGTGATTGTGATTGTTTTATAAGAATATTTATTTTTTTATTTTGCAATATGTCATGAACAGATTCAATATAATCTTGCATTAACATTAGTTTTCCTTTCAAAATATCTTTTCTTTATTCACAGATTGGCCAGTTTCATGAAGTGTTTGGGTGAAAAGAATTGTAATAGGAGCACATTTTAAAATTATTGGATTTTGACTGCTGAGCAGATATCACACAAGCATACTCAAAATAAACAGTTGGCTTGTAAAATTTGTGAATAAAACTTTTCAGTGAATTCCAATATGTAAAACATAGATGTATATGTTGCCAAGAAAAAAATCTATTGTCATGTAAGATTCGTTTACATAGATTTTCTCTGGATTTCAGTTGGCAAAACCTGTCAAAGCTTATGGTGCAGAAGAAAAAAAATATTACAGTATGTGTAAATGATGTTAGTTGGTTGATTTTAACAATATGTCAACCCTTGTTGGGTCAGTTACTTTCTCACTGATGTGACATGGCGTCTCTCTATATCTTTTCTACAAATATTTTCATTGCAACTCTTCTGGTAAGCTGTTCTCCTCAGCAGAATAAATTTAAGCGTGCCACTAGATAGGTCTCACTATTTTACTGTTGAGCTAGCTCGATGCACCTGTCTATTTGTAACAGTTTCTTTTGCATTTCTTACCTGTAGAACTCTGTTTTGATTTCATGCCTGCATGCCACTGACAATCTTCAAAGATTTAAATGCAACATCAATCATCATCTTCTGTCTTCCTGAAACCTGTTCCTTTATTGTCCTTACCTCACTTCTCCTCACTAAAATCTTCTCATTCTCTTTCACTCCCTGTAAACCCCTGCGTTCTAGTGGCATTATTGCTTTGCTTGGGTTGAAATGATTAAAAATATAATAATTTACAACAAACTCGCACAACTAAGTCATAGTCTTGTGATGTTGTTTATTTGAATTCTGAAAAATTCACACTTAAAAATGTATCTGCAAGCTCACACTGTGAAAAAATCTTATTCTTGCACAGTGTGCAATTCTGTATTTCTGCATCGAGGGAATTTACACAGACATATGCGAATTCACTCTGGAGAAAAACCTTATATCTGTGAAGTATGCGACTATTCATTTTCAGACAGCTCGACCTTAAAAAGACATGTACGAATACACACAGGAGAGAAACCGTATTCCTGCAGTGCTTGTAAGTCGACATTTTCACGTAAAAGAGATTTAAAAACACACATGCAGACACACATCAATGAAGAGCCATATTTTTGTGATGTGTGTAAATCTGCATTTGTAGACAGTTTACAATTGGAAATGCACACAAAGTCTCATAGCCTAGATGAACTCTATTCCTGTAACGTATGTGAATGCTTGTTTGTTTCGACTGCACAGTTAAAAAGCCATTTACAAACGCATACTGAAGAGAAACGACACATTTGCAAAATTTGCAGATATGCATTTCTGCAAAGCAGCAACTTAAAAAGACACATGCAAACTCACACTGGAGAAAAACCTTACTCTTGCATCGTATGTGGATCAGCATTTTTGCAACATGGAAATTTAAAAAGACACATGAGAGTTCACTCGGGAGAAAAACCTTATACTTGTGAAGTGTGTGCATCTTCATTTTCAGACAGTTCAGCTTTAAAAAGACATGTAAAAACCCACACTGAAGAGAAATCATATTCTTGTCAGGTGTGTGGATGTGCATTTTCATGGAAATCAGATTTAAAGATTCATATGGAAACACACACTGATGAGAAAACATACTCCGATGTTTGCAAACCTGCATTTATTGAAAGTTTCCAATTAACAGACCACATGATATCTCATAATGATGAAGAACAATATTCAAATAATTTAAGTGTTCCTGAATTTGATTCAAGTTCACCTTTAAAAAAACATGGGCAAGCATCCAGTAAAGAGAAATCCTATACTTGCAAAGTGTGTGGAACAGCATTTTTACAAAGTGGAAACTTAAAAAGACACATGAGAGTTCACACTGGGGAAAAGCCTTACACATGTGAAGTGTGTGAATCTTCATTTTCAGACAGCTCTGTCTTAAAAAGACATGTACGAATGCACACAGGGGAGAAACCATTTACGTGCACTGTCTGTAGCTCTACATTTTCCCGTAAAAGAGACTTAAAAATGCACATGCAGATGCACAGCCATGAAGAACCCTATTTTTGTGATGTATGTAAATATGCTTTTGTAGATTGTATACAGTTGCAAATGCACACAAAGTCTCATAGCCTAGATGAACTCTATTCCTGTAACGTATGTGAATGCTTGTTTGTTACAACTGCACAGTTAAAAAGCCATTTACAAACGCATACTGAAGAGAAACGATACATTTGCAAAATTTGCAGATATGCATTTCGACAAAGCAGCGATTTAAAAAGACACATGAAAACTCACACAGGAGAAAAACCTTACTCTTGCAAAGTGTGCGGATCAGCATTTTTGCAACACGGAAATTTAAAAAGACACATGAGAATACATTTTGGAGAAAATTGTGCAACTCTTTAGTTTCAAACGGCTTGATATTAACCAAACATAAAAACACACTAGACAGAAGATTTTGCCTACAAAAAATAGTGTGTCAAAAAGACAGTTATTCCTTTGACACTACTATTATGCATACCCTTTTAACTCCCTCAGTAACATCTATTTACAAGATTATGAAAATATGTGAACCAAGTACATTGTGATATTTATTATTTACTTTTTATAAAGATTTATCATTTAACATTTTATAAAGAAATAAATTGGAAAAGAAATCTTTTTATTGAAAGATTTATAAAAAAAAACAGAAAATTCTCAAAATATGTAAACCAGTTACAATGCAATATTTATTATTTACCATTTTGTAAATAACCATGAAAACAAGTTTTTTTATTCAATCTAATAAATAAATAGTGTTTAACATCTTTATTGTCATTTCTCAAGAATAAAAAAGGTTATAAATTCACTTTCATATGTTTGGATTTTATCAAAATTCTAATCACTGTTTTGTAAAGCAAGAAAAACAAAAGTAATATCACAGAAATAACAGCTCTTTTGACACACCTTTTTTTATGGGCACAAAGGTTAAACATTGCCAAAAATTTATTCTTGTAGAGTGTGTTCATTTGTATTTACATAGATCTGAGGGTAAATTTTAACAAATGTACTCACAGAAATCATTGTGTCAAAAGGGATGATTTTTCTCTTGACACTGACATTACTGTATAATCCTGAGGCAATTTTTATTGTTTTAAAAAAGATATTTTTAGAATTTTAATAAAACGCAAAAATTTGAACCTGGATTTATTTTCTGTCTTCTTGAGAATTGGCAAAAAATATAAACACTGTTAGATTGTTTATCTACAAGAGCAAAACAGCAGTAGCAGTGGCACCCTAATCAGCATCAAGGTTAGGTTTAAAGCTCTAAGTTTACTCCAGCAAATTGTTCTAGTGGATAAAAGTGTTGTTTTATGAATTTGGTGGCTTAGTGGTTGTGAGTTCAATCCCTGGGTCAGACTGTGTACTTGGACTCATTGGAAATGGGTGAGCAGTAATTAGATAAGAACTAAATAAAAACTAGACGATATCTCGAGACATGAGCTATAGAATGAGAACAGTCTACCCCATGAGATTAAATAAAGGGTTCAGTTTAGAATTCCCTAGTGATTACCTAGATCGATATAAACCTGATGAAGTCAGGAGGGCACAATAGCTGAAACATTGTAATCAAATCAACAAAGATGAGGACAATAGTTCAAATATAAATAGTGTAAATTATCATAACTCGCCATTCCAGAAATTCAAGACAAAAATAATTTTATATTTACAAGATTATATAAATTCACTAGCAGTAGAGCCCGGCGTTGCCCGGGGATGTAACAGTAAGAGATAGATCAAGTATCAACCATCATAAAGACTGAAAAATAAAATTGACAAAGATTATTGTTTAAGGTTGACGGACACGCATGTCTTAATTAGTTTTTTTTTTTTTGTTTTTTTTTTTTTTGTTTTTTTTTTACGAATTGGTCAAACTCAAACAAAAACATTGTTTTCAATCAGTATGAGTCTACCAATTGAATAGAATTTTATTATAAACAATTGTCTTATAAATGGAATTTTAAAAGCATTCTGAATGTAAAAATAAAGAAAAAAGTGTGCAAGACAATAAGAAACACTACCTGCCAAAAAAAAAA